ATCTCCCCCCCGTGTCCAGCCATATGTCTCCCAAAACCCCACCCGAAAATAAAACCCCAAAGCAACCCTGATGCCCCACGTATTACCTGACCGACATGCTGCAGAGTCACTACCCATATTGTCTATGCAACGGCAGACGGAAGTGTATAGGCCTGCCAAATGGTGCATCGCAGCTGTGTTGGACTGCGCTGGCGTGTGGCACGTGTCTGACCGTTATAGGATGCCTCTGTCTGTTCGATGGCACTCGACGACTGCTGTAGCTGCTCCTGGGTAGCCCGCATGCGTTGCACTTCCTTTGCCATAGCCTGTCCCGTCTCCTGGAGCAGCTGCTGGCTGTGGGACTGAACATGGGCAGGCCTCTGCAAGGCTGGTGGGTTGAGGGAAGTATCCTCGTGTGGCTTCTGCGTCCCGCGGGAAGAGTTCACCTGCTCCCCAGTAGTTGCCTTAGCTCGAACAGGTTCCAAGCGAGGACCCCCGCTGCGAGAAGGACCTCCAGGCTGTGCATCTCTAGCAGACAAGCCTACTGTGTTCTGTGCCCTGAGACGAGAAACCGAGCACCAGCAAACTAAATGGACTAAAAAGCAGCAGAAGGTGAATATATGCGCCACGTAATCCCGAGGAGTTCCATTAAACCGAACTGAGCGTGCATATGCCTACCTCTCCTGGACGGAACATACGAAGTTGGCCATCCGCATTGTGTGAAAGTGCCGCTCAGTATTCTGCCACCAGGCAGCGAACTGCGACTTGTACCTGCACTCGTAGAGTCATACAAGTTGCATAAATACGCACCTAAGCAGGTGAAAAGGCAAAAAGAAGCAAAGGGTAGCGATGTAGTGATACTGATGGTCAGTCAAACAAAGAAGCAAATGCCAAACATACACAAGAGTTCACGCAGACACGCACTTACAGGGCTACACAAAAGAACATTTGATGTAGACCCATCTGCCGGTTAAAATGGCCCATGAAGATACCCACAACGCATATACGCGCATATGCATCTGCAGAACAGCTGGCATACGTGCACGTACAAAAATACATGCCCAAGCAGGCAACAATGCGGATAAGCATGGCTTGATGTACGAGCCTACGCTGACCTTTGTAGCGATGCAGGTGCAACGATCGGTGTAGAGAGGCATACAACTGCAAAAGATACTATAAATTGTAGGGATTCAAGTCAGTGTGTTGCAAGAACAAAAAGTTCTTTGTTTACTGAGTGCTAGCACACAGTCCCTAGATGGAAAAAAGCGATTATTGAATGTGGGCCGGGGTCGCAATGCGAGAAAGTAGAGAGCGACGGTGCGGCTGCGTACTTTTGCAGGCGTTGTTGGTGCTGCTTTAGTAGGGCGTCGAGCTCATGCAGCTGCCTGGGGTGAAAGGATTCTCTGTGTCGGGCATCCTCCGGGGACTGGGCGGAGCTGTAGGAAATGATCTTCTCAACAATTTGAGCCAAGTTCTTCGCAAGCTGCCCGTAGCGAGTTATACGTCGCGCGACACGGCTCCGGAACTGAAGTCATACAACCGGCACTGTGCTGGCGTATAGAAAGTTCCCCGATTAGCCTAGCCGTGGAAGTGGACGGCATCCGCGATGCGAAAAGGGGATAACTGGCGCATGGTGACATTAAGGGCGAACCCTACCTGGACCAGCTGCTGATGCTCCGTTACATCCGTGTTCGGTGCAGTTTCAAAGAGAGATGTAAGGGAGCCATCCAATGCAGCCAGGTCCTCCACGACGACATGCAACTGCTGCAACAAGTCCTTCAGCGCCATCTGCTCCTCCTGTTGACGCACGAAGAGCAGACACACCACGTCATTCCTCTTCTCAGTAGATAATACCCATAAGGTATAAGCTGAAGTGTAGCTATTGGGAAGGAAGGCTCAATATGCAGATGGATGAGCCGGAGAGCGAATACGGGCGGCATTGGGCAAACCACGGTCATGCGCTCACGAACAAGTGCGATGAATCCGCATAATAACGATTGCTACTCTCATACCTCAGCTGCATACTGCTGATTTACACTTTGATGGTAGTTTGGCTGCACTGCCTTGCGATGTTGCTTGCCCGCGGCCGCCATGCTAGCGTCAACTGGTGTAGGGTATGCCGGGGGCACCATGGAAGAGTGAGGAGAGGGCAAATAAGGCTTTAATTTCCAGTAAATGACGTAAAGAGGGTCATCCCTCTCTAGGACTCAGGGCGCCGATCACGGTGAAACGGCCGAAAGAGTTGGCTATCGCCTTCCTATACAGGGATACTCTTAGGTGTCTGCCCGTCGGTAACGGTGAAGTCGGGTGTGTGTCTACAAGCGCAGATTCTTCTGATGAGGCAACAGACGAGAAAAAACGCAGTTCCATCCTAAATTATGGTTGCTATTGAGAAGAAGTTCATAAACTTGGTCGCTTTCTTGCATTCCGTTCCTGAAGATTGTGGGAGATGCCGGGGCTGTCAGTTGGAGAAGCACAGTACAATGCCCTGGGGTTCCACAGGGTACCTACAGGTTTGTTGGAGTGTTTAATGTAGGATTTCAGGTTTCTATTCTACAAATTAGCGTAGTAAGTTATCCTTGAAAGAAAGGTATTATACGATAGAATCTGAGGATCTACACTGTGGAGCCTTGGGGTTCAGCAAGGCGGGCTCAGACACCCTAAAGTTTCTGAAAACAGCGAATGCACCCTATCGTATTAATATAACAATAAGTATTTAGCCCTGTGATAAGAGTAGGGGCAGCAATCGCTATAGAATCAACGTAAATGGAGTCAATATGCACCCGCAGTGCATTCTAGCTTAGAGAGGAGCAAAATGCTGACAAGTCCAATGGAATACAAAGGGATCACAACGATAACGACCCGTGACCCTAGAGGGGAAAGTAACATGCTGGCATTTGGTTTGGATTATGTTGGTAATTCGGCGGGTGAATAGATCTCGGAGAGTGCCGTGGGGTTTCCCCTACGGTTGCGGCCAGGGCTCGTTCCGCCAGCACTGGGGGGGTGCTGGCACCGCTCGTCGACCAGGCCTACACCATTTCGCGATCACTCTACATCACTCGCATAGACGCTACTCATCCCTCTACACTCCTGTGGAAGGATTAGTTGGCCCTTGCCTGTACTATGCTTATGCTACACGTTAGTTACCTACTATGTGTCGGGCCTAGCCGGCACTGGAGTGCCAGGAATTAGATATACCCGCCGACGGAGAGTTCTGCGCCGTTGCGATGAGCCAAATCAACTACAGCAACTCGTATAACAATCACAATGTAGTGCCCCGCGCTAAAATATTCCCCCCAACTCGTGGGCGATTGACGCCGTCAGACGTGCCTGTGCGTGGGTTACGCGCCCTCAGCCTTGCGTCCGAGTGCGTGCTGCCAGTGTAGCGATTTTATCCCACGTAGACTGAACACGAATGCTAAGCTACCGACACGTGCGTCTCGGCGACACGCGAATTCGCTCGGCGTGAAGCGTGGTTGCGGCGTCGGAGTGTCGGGCAAGTGTGGGGATGCTCCGCTAGCTCCCACGTAAGCCGTCCTTCCGGAGGCCTGTGCCACTTCACTAGCTAATGAGCAGTGCATATCCATTCTCCTCCTCATTGTTCCACTGTGTAGTCCAGGTCGTAACTAGTTGTTGCGTTTCCAAGTTCATCGCGCACGTGTAAGCAGCCCACAGCATTTTCCTCGCGAACCCTCCGGGGGTCGCGAGGGCAATCCGGAATCAGCTGTGATGTGTGAAAAACATGGTGACACGCATCAGTTGGGACAGGGACAAACGATATGCGACCTTACAAATCCGGCCAGTACCTGTAAAAGGTCCGCGAAAGCGAGGCTCGAAATTGAAGCTGTAATTCCGCGAGGGGAAGCTCTTGCTGCTGAGATAAGCTTTGCCCCCGACGTCCAACACCGGTATCTCGACAGTGGGTATCCTCATAAGTGTTTTGGTTCCAATTGGCCTTGCTGATGCGGTCTTGAGCTCGCTTGCACAGTTGGCTGAACAATTTGGTCATGGATGGGATGGGTGTAGAGACCAGGTCCCACAATGACCAGATTGGCAGCGGTGAGCGGATTTTCCATTAACATGACTTCGAACGGACTAAACTCCGTAGAGGAGTGGCTTGTACAGTTGTAGGCCAGTTCAACTGCCGTGAGGAGCCGGTCCCACTCTCACTCGTCAGGCTAAACGTATGTGCAGATCATCGGCCCAGGGGTTCTGTTTTCATGCTTTGCTTGACCACCTGTCTATGGACAGTATCCTGTAGGCATCGCACGCTAAATATTAAAACGGTTGCACAGTTGGCCCCCGACTTCCTTCCCGCTGAGAACGCGGAGCGCTATCGGTGACAAGGGTGTCAGGGGAAGCATGAACCAGATGATCTGCTAGCAGCCAGTTGGTATGCCCTATGGAGAACGCTTTAATACCAAGTCGCCCGAGTCGAAACTGACTGCGGAACGTCTTTGGTCGTAGTTCCTGGCTTGACGTTCCTGTGTTTTGCGCATGCATTCCCTCACTGCTGCAAGCTGTCTGCCGAAGTCAGAAGCCGCAGACGATCGGGGCTGGATTTCAACAGCGAGGTCGAGCGGCGGATCTGCGGGTGGGGTTTCTGTGTAGACCAGGGACGCCGGGGAGCAGCGGGTGGACGAATGCACTGTAGTGTTATAAACCCACTCTGCACAAGCAAGAAAGTCAAGCCAGTCAGATGAGTTCTGTTGGGTGTAAAGTCGCAAATACTGCACCAGCGTGCGGTTAGTTCTTTCGGTCTGGCCGTCTGCCTCCGGATGGTTGGCAGTGGTCATGTCGTGGTCGATGCTGAACTGTTGCATGAGGCTAAGCCAGAAGGCGCCAACGAACTTCGGATCCCTGTCGGTAATGATGCTTTTTGGGAAGCGTTGGAGCTTCTACACATGATTAATGAATAGTTTGAGCCACTCCTTCCGCTGTGACCGTGCTCGAGCAGTGAATAAAGTGAGCNTATTTGCTAAGCCGATCCACCACAACATATATACTATCATGGCATCTGACGGGTGGTAAGCCCACTATGAAATCCATGGAGATATCCGTCCAGATCCTACCGGGAATAGGGAGGGTGTGCAGGAATCCGGGGTTGAGCGTGTTTCGTGGTTTTTGTTGCTGGCAGTCCGGAGAAGAGAGTACGTATTCCTCGCCAGAGGGGCCCATCCTAGGCTACCAGAAGGACCTGGCAACACGCTCTAGCCCCGTGTTTAGCTGGCTTGGCGTTCACAGCCCCAATATCCATTGGCTCCAGATCGGGATCATTCCCAGACCCCCTTTCTTCCTTTTCGGCTAAGGATGTGGATGTTGTGTTTCTCCTTACCATCCTACGGAGGTACTCCATCATCTCAGCGAGTTCCACTTTTTCGCCCCTCATTTCCATATCTGTGGACTGGCCAGTTACTGTTTGCCTCACACCAGGGGACAGCCCCGCTATAAACCAATTATAGTGGAGTTCCGTATCCACCATAGGATTTCGGTTCACCAAGGACTGGTATTTCTCAATGTAGCGCTCTATTGACAATTTTCCCCGTTTAAGCTTTCTTAGTTGCGCCACAGCCTGCTCCCCTGCAGACATCGGAATAAACCCGCAACATAGCGCGTCCCGGAAGGCCTGCATGGACCTGACGTGCGCCGCGAACGTGGAGCCGTCGCTTAAGTGTAGCCACCATCGCCGTGCATCCACTTCTAACAAGGAAGAGGCCAGGAGTAGTTGGAATTCTTCTGGGGCATTTTGTAGGCGGAGGTATAAGTCTACGGAATTAAGGAACTCCTCTACGGCCTCTGCATCGCGCCGCCTNTGCAACTTACCAAGGCCAAGTGGGGGCTCGTGGGCTATCAGTAGGCAGACCACGCCACATCTGTAACACATGGCGACCGTTTACCGTGGTTACGTGTGTCCCCTAAAATGGGCCCGTGGCCTTTATGTCACTAGATCTACGGATTGCGTGCCAAAGTAACGTCAGGTTTCTGTTATTCCCGGGGAAAATCCTAAATTTACGGAACTTCCGATGGAAGGATCGACCAGAATCGCCTTCCTCCACCAGTATCTGCTTGTCCCTGCCAGGTGCGGGCTACTGCCGGCCATTCGACCCGGCACCAGGTGCTACGGTCGGACCGCAGGCGAGACCTGGCTCTAGACTGTAACGCTAGTTCTCTGGCCTTTATCTAACCAGAGACGAGCCGCAATGAAGGCAAAGACATAAAGCAAGAGTTTCCCAACAGCAGCTGACTTCCTTCCGCCGTACCTAGGCATCCTGGGCGTTGAACCCAGGGCCAGGGTGTCACGGGGAGGAGGCAGCCCGAAATGGGNGCGCTTACGCGCAGCATGCCAAAGCCGTCGATAGGCTCCTGAGCTAACTCTGCGCTAACTCATGTTACACTAGACTGCTACACCTCTAATATACTCATAAACCTACTAATATTGCTGAATTCTTCTTATACATGAGGCAAGGTAACCTTAGACCTCGAATATCTCACAGTATCCACTCTCTATCTTACTCTTAGGCTACCGCAACCGTGGGCAATGTAGCGCCTGTGCACTACAACATCACTCTACAGTTATTGTTGCTGCTATTGCTGCCTTACTGCATGCTTTACCGTTGTAGACACTTATGAAGCATTTGTTTTTGCCTGCAGGCAACCCATCAAGGCCAAATTAATGTTCCTGTGCTAACTGCAGACAGGCCACGGTACACATCAGACAACCGATCCAGCACGGTTACATCCGTATAATCTGCCTGCACGGCAACCCAAGGAGCAAATATCCCTGAGGCCCTTCTTGATGTATGCACCTACAGAGTATTCAATCGTAAAAGACTAGCTTGGCTGACAGAAGCCTGCATACGCACGAGGATGATACATGCGCCGACTACTGAAAGACCCTCGCGCAGCGTTATGCATCCCACAAGGTTTTACACTGTAAAACTTAACGAATAAGCTATATATAGCGCATAAGCTGATTACATGTAATCAGCATCGTCTGCGAAGAACAGTTAGTGAAAAAATGCTGGTATATGACGTTTCACACTACTCAGCCTATTGCTTCTGACAAGACCTGCAAGACATGCACACGCGACGAACTTTGCGACACAGCTGATAGCGGACGCTGCATATTGACTTTGGTCTGTAACTAAAAAGATGTTTGGATCACTCGATGTTTGAATTTGAGCTTCCGGAGAGGTTATCTTCGACCTGGGAACGCTCACCCCTGGTCTGTAGCGGGAGGGAGTGAGTGCTACTGGCGACAGCCGCCGGTCAATAGTTCTCCCTCCTCCCAGTCTTTGCGCTCGGCTTCATTAATCTGGATCCTTGTTATTCCTACATAGATAGGTAGACATTGGCGAGACAGGGAGGCTCCAAATACACAGTGCAAGCCCTTGAGCGGATCCGTGCAAGCCATTCGACACTCACGATTCTTGCGGACTGGGCCACTTTCTCCGTATGATCTTGAAGGGGATTACAAAGGCCTTGGGGAACCAATTCACCTTCTTCAGCGATGGCAGAACCTCAGGAAGAGTTCCTGCGGCAGCTATCCAGTGGAGTGCCTCCTGCAGGAGCCGGGGACTGTTGCGAAGCCTTGAATGCAGCGGCTTCAGATATTGTGCTCCGCCGCTTTAGCATCCAGAGTCTAAAGAGTAGACGCAGCTCCGTAGACAAGGGTTCTGCGAGTTGCATGGATGGCGCAGACGACGCAGGTCTCGGGAGGGGCGAAGGCACTTCCCAACCAGAGTCCGATGAGCAGAACCCGACGTATGAACGCCTCAAGAACCTTCCCTTCTGTCAGCCTGTCACAATCACCTTTAAAGATGTGTCCTGTAAGTCTGCACACAACAACAGCGCGGGGTAGGAGTCACGTTATAGTCACCTTGGTAGTCGGCGGCGGGGACGACAGCCGAAAGGATGATTGTGCGTTGCAGNCACAACATCTTTTTCTGGCAAAGGAATGCGTGAAATTTAGCTCCTCTGCACAGACTCAACTCTGTCCAAATGCACATGCGCATGTGGTAGTTTTTCAAGCGTGTGCCAGTTTGGCATTTGCTTTCCTGCTGTCTCCTGAACTCATAAGACGCATGCTTTTGGGGGCTGACTGTTGCGCGGAGGTTACTACATAACACTGGAGTTGTGACGAAAACTCTACCACGTTGCTGCCATTTGTAGTCCTGTGTTCGCAGTGAAGGTAAATGTACCGAAGCGGTTCACTGGCGCCCTTTCCTTACCCGTTTTAAACCAAATTGCAAGCGCCGTTACACCGCCGCAGACGAAGACACTCCTTCAGGGAGTTGACGGGACCGTAAAACCGGGGGAAATGGGTGAGAATGGCTGGCTGTTACTCCCACCGGCCGGTTGTTCATACACACGAAAAGGAACCCAGAGATGGCAGGAACCACGTTGTCCTATTGGTAGTAGTCTCTGACCGCGTCCTTTCAAGCCGGAGATAGGGCTTTGTGACAATTTCTTTTATGGATCGTTTTCCGCAGTTGCACTGATGGGGGCCAGTGGGGCAGGAAAGTCGACTCTTCTGAACGGTAGGCCTTAATCACGCACGCACGTGCCTGATCCTGTGAATCGGGAAGAAACTGTCAGCTAGCAGAAGTAGAAAGGAGACTGAACAAGAAACGCGCGGTCTACGTACGAATCAGATTATGCACCGGAATACGTGCTTAATCGAGGCTTTTCTGTGCTGGTGTACTATATTCTGACGCGTTACGTGTTTTAATACAAATGAAGCTGGTAGTGTCAGTGTAGGGAGCGGCTGGTAAAGTTGTTGGCGTTGCTTGCAGTTCTAAGCCGCCGTATCGTTAGCAATGGAGGGTCCGTTTTGTTCAACGGGAAGTCGCTGGGACCGGCCGAAGTGAAGCGACTATGTTGTTTCATTCAGCAAAGCGACTGCTTTTATGGATTTCTCACCGTGCAGGAACATCTGGACTGCGTGGTGCGTTATGCTTCATTATTTCAGCATTGGCGCACGTTACATACGTTTAAAAGATGGCACACACACGACATACATGCATATGCGTAATATCACCCAACATTTGCACAGGAAGGTGCGGGAACCTTCAGTATCGCCCTCGTTATGTTGTGGCATATNTTGAGGACTGGGCAAAAAAAGGAACAAAGGGCCAAGCTGGTTGATCGTTTGGTGGAACTGTATGGCTTGGCAAAAGTCAAAGACTCTAGAATAGGGAATCTGCAGATGGCAGCGAAGAGGTCGGTGTTCACGCTATGTTTGTGTACGCGCTCCATATGGTCGCTCGGCTGGACTCCCCGCTAATTTTTCCTGAGATTGCTCGCTGGATTGCTTTCCACTTAACCTCCGTAGAGAAAGGTTGTGGCGTTGGAGTTGGATTTAATGCGCGTGATTGCTGTGACCGCAGAGGCATCAGCGGGGGGGAAAAGAAGCGCTTGAATATTGCTACGGAAATGATGACGAGTCCGTCGGTTATATTTGCGGACGAGCCAACCACTGGTCTGGACTCCTTAATAGCTGAAAATGTCATGAACATTTTCAGGCTGTTAGCGGATCGCGGTGAGGAGCGCTCTTCTTGTTTGCCTTGTTTGCTTCTTTTTGGGTTTTGACAGCGGATACGCTGCGTGAATTTGATTCATCAGGGATACGGAAGAAGTTGTGTCGTCCTAGAGCCTCGTTGTACGACTTTTGGCAGAGATAATTTTCCCCGCTGCATCTGATGTTTGCACAGGGAGAACTATTATATGCACAATTCATCAGCCGAGTTCAAACATTTTCAACATGTTCACAAAGGTGCTCCTGCTGAGTCGTGGGCGCTTGGTTTTCTACGGGGACCGTGAGGCAACTCTTCTATACTTTTCACGTCTAGGCCGGCCCTGCCCGCCATTTACGAGTGTACCAGAGTTCCTTCTTGAGCTTCTTGTAAAGCAGCAACTTAACCTGGGGGATCCTTCGGAAGATTTAAGCGATTTAACGCCTGAGAGGTATGCATGTGTCCCAAAATAGTAGAGCACATTTGTTGTGGTAGTTGTTGCGTTTTATCTCGCCAAACGGAGCTTACCTAGTGATGTGTACTCATAAGGGTGGAGCGCCGTTGCTGCAATCAACTCGCCTACAACGTATACACGCTCTCTTGATTTTTCGTCGCCTGTGACGTGGGGTTGTGAGCTCCTGCGGCCCTTTGTGCTATCTGGAAACGGTATATTGCGCTCAGTTCATGAAACCTACTGATTATTTAGGTTGTAGATAAAGACCAGGAGAAAACATAGTTAGGCGATCTCTCTTAGTGACTGCATGCACAGTGAAATGGGCCGTGGAGTGTTTTTTGTGCAGACTGGCAGAACATTGGGAAAAGACGGGCGCAGCCTTTCTTGCTGAATGGGTGAGTGCGCATGCATGCATAAGCCGTCACCAGCAACTTGATGCATGCAAATATCCAACAGAAGATCGGGGATTCTAATGAGTTGCAAGCGCTTGAAGGAAGCAAGCATGCGCTGGTATGCTGACGTGCAAGTTCGTATCCTTGCTGCTGGACCGCAGGAGAATGTCCGAGATAAGCACATTCAAGCCATGCAGGACGCTGGAGCATTTCAGGGTGGCCAGGTAATTTGGTTTTNGTCCGAGATAAGCACATTCAAGCCATGCAGGACGCTGGAGCATTTCAGGGTGGCCAGGTAATTTGGTTTTTCGCAATATCTGCTTCCTTGGTGCTTCACGGGGCTGGAGGGGGCAGTTTGTTTGTGCTTTGCATGCACAAGCGAACATGCCGCACTGTGTAATACTCACGTGGTATTGCGTAATAGTTCACAGTGCATGCTTCCTGTGCTATGCCTCGTATCTTCCTAGAACGCCAAGTCTACTTCCTTTTGCCGCTTCCGCTTGCAAAGGCAGACGCTAAATTTCTAAATCGTCTTTTGCTTGCCCGCAACATTCCATCTGTGACTAGTTGCCCGTAGGAGCGCAGTTGACTTATTGCTGGTGCTGGTCAGATTCGCGTGTTTGCTGTCTCTTTCTCAGGATTTTGCGAATAGCGAGACTGGTGAGTATCATATCATCCCACACATGGGGCTGTTCGGCTTCCAGCCGCACCGACCACAAATCACATGGGCGAGTGCTGCTCCGGAGAGGGGC